TTAGTCCCCAGCCTTGGATTAGATATCTTTTCGGCAAGCTTATATTGGAAATTTATAGCAAACTCTGCCACCGCATACAATAGTTAATTTATACTCAAATCCTTAGCGAACCTATTAGCAAAATTTACTGGCTCTGCCCTTGCGTGACAGCCCCAGCGAAGGAAAATGATGAAATTGTTTTTCTTTCACAGGCAACGAGCTCCACGTCGAAAAGCGAAGCGAGCCGCGTTAGCGCACCACTCTTCGGATTTTTGGCAAGCAATAAACACTTAAATAACACAATTCGAGTGTACCGGATTCTTTATCATTTCGAGGAGAGCTTTCCTATTCTAACTATTTCCGAGGATTGAGGAACTTTCTGGCGTAACATATCTGTAATGGGGCAATATGGCGAGTTCCCTTTTTCTTTCCAAATGAATTTATGCTTAGTCTAAAATTGGTAAATACCAAATAATCTTTTTTTTCGCCTAGTTGTCTCTATTTCGATTGCATTCTATGTCAATAGGTTCATTTTTGCTTTGTCGATAACTATCTCGCCATTAGCGATGAATTGGATTTATTAGTAAGGGAATGAATGAAGCGGATCCTTACAACGCTTTGCTTCGGACGCAGCTACTACTTCAACCACGCCAGTCCGAAGCAAAATTCCATCAGCCAAGACCCTGCTGAAAGTGACTACTTCCTCGACATCTCCTTCTATTGGGTCTCCTTCGCCACAACTACTGTTTACATCGCTGAAGTCTACCCTGTCCTTGTCTACCACCGTGAATCTGACCAGGTTCAAGAACATGGAATGCAATGGGATCCAGGCGGCATTGGCTTGTCCCTGGACCAACGCATGGGCCTGGGAGGATGCAAGGGAGAGCATATCTTGTACTCCAGGCATGGAGTACTCCGGCTGCACCAGCCACATCACAGCCGTTGGTTGGAATATGTAGGTACAGGATAGAGTGTGGACACCCCCATCCTGCGGAATTTGCAGAAACCCCCCTACATAAGTACAGAAAAACTGCAACAATCCCCTAATCTAGCTCCAGAAGTTGTGCTGCCCTGGGTTTGGAACATAAATAAAAGGCACATCCTGTGCCTCATTAGCTGATCGTTTCAGGCCGAGGAATTCAACTGATCCGACACACACGCATATACACACAACAACAGCAACGAACAATCGATCTAGTGGATCACGGCATGGCAGCTTCTTCTTCTTCTACCTCTCGCTCCCCATTTCTGTATCCCGAGTTCGAGCTTGTAATCGATCCTTGCTACTCTTTTTTTTTGGAACGGGGTCCTTGCTACTTCAATTCGCTGAGATAATCGTAGATCGAGAGTGATGTATTGGGTTGCTGATGCACCTGTCATCTTGTCTTGGGTTGCTGATGCACCTTTCATCTTGTCCCCAAGGAAGCAGGAATGCTGGGGAATATGATGTAGACCAGTCTATCTTAAATCCTAAATGATATGTGACTATTTTGGTTCCTTGGCTCTGGGGCTACCAACACGCAGATAATACTGGAATGCAGTGCAATTACGAGGCACATAGAGGGTAACCGTCTCCAGCTGATAACATGCCCTGTTCTTTGGTGAACCCGGGTGTGCAGTGAAATCAGGTCGAATTGCGCTCAAAGCTATACCAAAGATGCAAGGCTACACATTAAATGTCATATACAAAATGGATGTCATAAGAGGATTCGAGGTTGCCATCTCAATATAATAATTACTTAAATCAAAAGGTACGATGCTAGATTTGTGTTGCTCAAAATTTGAACAAGATGTGGCGCTATGGATCAGTTACCAGCAAGACCATAAAGGACTTGCAAACTGAAACTGAACCTGCAGCTTGGACAGTCTGACCAATCGAACTTATGTGCAAGCAAAACTTGTAGTATAAAGTAAAATCAAACTGCTGAATCAACTACTGTGCAAGCTAAAATGGCATATACAGGAAAAATGTGCAAGCTGCTGAATCAAACATTTGTGCCGTGAAAGCTTTGCGACTGTAGGACCAAACTGGAATGTTAAACTAAGAGCAGAGTAAAAATATTTAGCAGCTGACCTCCAGTGTGAGAATGACAATGCTTAAAAACAGTGTGCCAGACGGAAATTTGTATTCGACGAAAAATGTTAGAATGTCAAAATCCAAACAGTAAAACATGCTAAAAAGAAATAAAAGAAATTGAAAGTCAAGTAATGAGAAAACTATGAACGAATTCGCTTTGCTCCTTTCTATGTGCGATAGTGGAATGGATGCATTAAAAGGAAAATAGCTAGAAAACTTTCCAAATTCTGTCACATCAAAACTTATGAAATGGACTGCAAGATAAACTCGCAGCAGTGCATTTCATTTTAGGCACCATGATGACCTACATTCCCTGACAGAAAGCACACAATGGCACAGGGTGCAAATTCACACATAAAAACTGCTGGAGGCAACTTAGTAAAGCGAACAGAAACTGGATAACATCCATACCCACTGTCCATAACCATAGCAGATCTTTACATAAAGTGCTAAGAAAGGGTGTCGCTGAAACTACACATGCAGGTTGATAAACTCACAAGGGGCTCAAAAATTGTCTGGAAATTGCATCCATGTGAATACAAACAACTGCACCACCCGATTAATAGTTCATTCAACTAATGGGCTAACGAAAACGCATACATATAATATTTCTCCAGCACCAAAGGCAACAGCTAGATGAACCTGCAACGCCTTTGCAAGTGCAAGTCTAACATTAACCGGCATTAAGATGATAGACCGTTAACAGGCACACACCTTTATCCCCAACTACCTGACATGTGCCTTACTCTCGCTCAATCTGAATGGTCACATGACTGATGTTGTACTCTGCCTTGATGTACCCAATGACCTTGTCAAGCATTTTATCAGCATCCGCATCCTGCGTGATCGTCACATGGCATGCCAAGAGCACCTTCCCCACTGTGATAGCCCAGATGTGCAGCTCATGGACAGCAATCACACCTTCCATCTTACGGAGACCACTCTCAAGCCTGGTGGCATCAATCTCGCGGGGCGTGCTCTCCATAAGGACCTCAAGTATGTTCCGGATCATCTTGATTGTGGTGAACAGTACAATCACAGAGAAGATGAGGGTGCATATGAGATCAATAATCTTCCATTCGGGCTTGTACCAGATGAGAGCCCCTCCAATCATTACGCCAATGCTCTGGATGGAGTCCCCAATTACGTGCAGATAGGCACTGTGAACATTGATATTGCGACGAGGCTTCTTAGCAGGCTTGGCTCCAGGCTGGGCACTCTCACAATCACCATCATGTTTAAGCAATGGTTGCTCAACATCCTGATGTTGTCCAGTGCTCGAATGAGAGTGATGATTAGTTGTAACGGTAATAGAAGTACCATGGCTGTGCTCATGGTGATGTACATGGCCCTGCTCATGATCTCCATGATGGGAATGGTCATCCTCTGAGTTACCATGATCGTGGTCATGTGAATGTCCATGGCTGTGCCCATGTCCACCGTGCCCATGGTCATGACCAAGCAACACTGCCATTATGATGTTAACAAACAAACCAAAAGCTGATACAGCAAACATGAGGGAGCCCTGTACCTCGCCGCTTTCATTAATGAGCCTCATAATAGCTTCGTAGACAAGTATGCCAGCAAGGAGCCATATAAGCTGAATGGAAACCAATGCCCCAAGAATCTCTATACGGAAAAATCCATATGACTGCTGAGGTGTCGCTTCCCAACCAGCTGCCCATAGGGAGAACAAAGATATGGCAAAGGCTGCAACATCCGAAAGGAGATGGGCAGCATCAGTCAAGATTGCAAGACTGTTTGCTTTGATGCCTCCAACCACTTCAACCGCCATGAATATAACACAAAGGATCACAGCAATTAGGAGCTTCTTCATGGATGCAGACCTCTCCTTTGAATCTTTCGAGGTGTTACTGGCATCAGAAAAGTCGCAAGCAGCACCTCTGCAAACTTTGTTCCCAGCTGCTCCAGAAGCGGATGAGATGTCCATGGTTACTTCAGGAACATGGAGCAGTGTAGAATTATGGCTGTCCATCTAAAAACAACAACTGAGTCAATACACAAGTACAATAATGATTCTAGATCTACTAATACAAGATGCTATAATAAGAAGAAAAAAAATCTTGTGTGTAGTTCCTACTAAATAGTGCGAAAAATGAAGTGACCACATGTGAAAAAAATACTATCACAAGTAGAAGTGGAAGGTAAAACTTGTGAGAATATTCATAAAATAATAGTCAATAAAGATCACGATCCAAAGGGGATATTTGCAAACATGACAGTCATTAAGATCGAAATCCACAGAGGATAACATATCTACCATATTTTAGCATGCAGTTCATAAAAATGGTACGCCTGGACCACATCCTAATTGATAAATTGGATGTCATCAGCTATGAAAAGGTCAGCGAAGGCAAAGTCAATATTCAGTAGGTTTGCAAAACATGGCAGGAATCTGGAGCCTGCTAGCCAAACAACATATGCCTACGAACTAACAATAGCGATTTCAGATAAGACTATCTTTCCACCTTTATGTGAACAACACGGAGCAGAGTAACCCAAGTGGTCAAAGCTGAGCAGGAAGTGCATTAACCTAAGTTTACAATATGAAACAGAGACGCACAACTTAAACAAAAACACTGACGGTCTGGTCGCAGAAGAAAATCACTGTGCGGGCACTGCACTACTAATTGGTTCTCAGCAGTCCCTATCTTGCAGATTCGATCACACCTAAAAAACCCTGAACGAGAAGTATCACAAGTCACAACAGTAAACCGGCAAGACCACACAAACATCAGCAGTACTAATCTGCAAACAAGCATAAGAACACATATATCTACCTCGGCCCCCAAACCACAGAAGAATCAAATTGACATCAACCAGATACCCGGCATTCAGTGGCAGAAAAAAAAGATGCCTCTTCTACCCGAATATTCACCAATCTGGCAGTAGACACAGCTAATTCAGAAACGGATATTATCCGGGTCACAAGATGCTGCGCGGAATGACGGAAAAAAGCGAACACAAATTGGAGTTTGGCACCACGGGAGGCTAGGCTAGTAGGGGCAGCTGCGATGGATAAGTACTTGACGCGAAGGAGGCCAACAAACAGAGCCGAAGTGATTGATTAATCCGCCACGGCACGCAGCGAGCACGTCCCCGACGAACTCGGCCTGTCGGCCACCACCTGCAGACCAATGGAATCGCGTCGCAAGGACCCGACGCAGAAACCAACAAGGAAAAATAACATGCGCGGCACGGGCCACGGAGACAGCGACCCGCGATCCAATTCCTCCCATCAGGATGCTAGATAGACTAGCAGTAGCACCCTTCGAATTTTCTTCCCGCGATCCCTGACCCGAACCGCCCCGATCCAACCCCGGCCGCGTCCACAATCACCGGTGACTGAAACCCACAGCAGAAACTGAAAACAAAAATCGCCGCAGAGACGCCACGGGGGAACCGAGGCGCGCAGGAGCCGCACGAGACGGGATGGAATCGGTAAATCCTCTCGCCATGGAGGGTCCATTGGTGGGAACGGGGCGGAGCGGAGCGGAGTAGAAAATCAATCCACGGGACAATCCTTAGTTCCGGCGGGGGCAATCAGAGAGGGGGAGAGGCTGGGGGAGGCTCTGACTTGGATGGGGATGGCCGGAGCCTCGGCAGGAGCAGCGGTGCCGCCGCCGCCGCCGCCGCCAGGGAGTTTGGGAGACGCGACGGGAGGGAGGCGGTTCGTGGGGACGGCGAAGTGTGGAGAGGAGAGGAGGCGTGAGTCGCGAGGGGATGCGACAGAAAAGGGGGCGAGCGGAAGGGTAGTCCGGTAATTTTGTGCCGAAGAGGCGAAGAGGGATATCCCGCTCGATCCCTAGCTGGATTCTCCCTCACACGCACGGTTTACCGTGTCAATCAACACCCCAAAAAACAGCTTCGTGCAGTATTTTACTTGGCGGTTAAAAAAATTTGCAACGAAACGGGCATGTTTTCATTCAAAACAGTGTACGTGACACCGACGCACGTTATGGAGTTTGGCCGCATTAATTAAAACCAAAACTGATTTGGGCTGTAATCCAGTCAATGCTCGGGGAAAACTTGAAATTCGCCAACGCAGCAGCGGCGGAGAAAGGGCAGGTGGGACTACTAGTAGTAGTGGAGGTTCAAAGAAAGCAGCGTCAGAGATGATGATGATGGCGAATCGTGTGTGCGCATTTGGTTCGTCGGGCGACCAGAGCGGCGGGAGGAAGGAAGAGGATCTCGCACGGCTCCGCGCCGCCGGGGTCGGGAACCTTGCGCCCCAACCAACCCCTTTCTTGGCGCAGCCGCGCCGCCGCCCTACGACGTGGACGCGGGGAAAGGGGAGGAGGGGGTCGACGGTCGACGGGAACGAGGTGGAAGGAGCGAGAACGTCCGCGACGACCGAAAAGAAGAAGGAAACGCACAGTACCATAAACGACGACGGAAAAATCTCTTGAACGGATGTCGGCATCTACGGAACTGGGGAAGGAGAAATGTTGGGTTGATGCTTGGAGCGGGAGATTGGTCGGTTTACCCGTATTTGATCTTGACGCCGGCGGCCGGCCGGCGAGCCCCACGAGCGCGGAGGGCGGCGGGAGGTGGCGGGCGATCTTCACGCGCGGGCGTCGGCGGGGTTGAGGAGGCGGACTGGTAGGAGGAGGGATGGGTCGGGTGGACGGGTGCCGTGCGGATCTCGTTTTATAAGCCCAGCTGACACGAACGAAACAGGCAAGGGGTTTCTTTACGGCGTGCTGACACAAACCTGGCTAAAACCGCAAGGCAAGGCAAGGTTCGGAAAGAAAAGTTCGAATAAAAAAAGTTTTAAAACGAAAAGGAGGCAACCCACGCCGCGCAGGGTGGAAATTGTCAGCAGCAGTCAGCTCTTTCCGGATTTGCGAGCCATGGATGTTTGACTTCAAATCCAGATTTCGTTTGAAATTCAATTTAAATTGTACATCCAACCTTGACTCTATCTGCTTTTCACACTACCCTTGGTGTCGTCGTGGATGTCACGCCATAACATTCCCTCTGATATGGTGGCCGTAAGCGTCGTTGCCTTTTTTTTTTCCTTCCCTTTTTTGAGCAAAAATAGACGTTTTTGATTCTGGTTGTGGTTAACCTCTTCATCCCGACCATCTTAAACATGATACCTTGACTCCAAATGATCACATATGCTGCCAACTTTGACTCGCCACCACCAGGGACCTTTTTTTTTCTTCATCACCCTCCTCCATCTTAACCTTATACTTTAACTCCCTGCTGGGCCGGTCGTTTTACGCCCTTCGAGTCCGGTCTCAGGATGCGCTAATACCAAGGTACTGATTTTCAAAGGTACCGCTGCCAAAGGTACCAATCCTAACAAATCTAGCTTTGCTATTTAAAATCATGCTTAGTTATTAAAGGAATTCCTCCTAACATCGGAAACTCTTTTTTTTTGGTGATCGGTCTTCCTCGTTCATTCCCTCGATTGGTTACTCCTCGGTGACCTTATTATTAGTTGTTTGCTTTTATCCGGGATCACCCTACGGGGTTCGGACATCTTACCCAACTATAACTAGAGTGTGATCACGTTGGGAGCTAATGCCAGTCCCATTTCCTAAAAACAAATATGAGGGGAAACAGTGACATTGATTTACTTTTAGAGGGAAAAGCCATGGAATTGATTACTCCCAACCATTTGTCATGCGCATTTCGCATCGTCGCCATCTTCAACTCACCAATGTCATAAATGAAGAAGAAGGGAAATAATATTTATGAGAAGATTTGATATTAGTGAATTGTGAGTCTCGCTTTTGTAGAGATGGTATACTACTCGCCACCCTATATAAGAATTTTGTCATGATGTATCTCATTTAAGAAACGTATTGACGCAATGTACTCCTTTCGTTCGAGGTTAAAGGGCCGGAGGGTCACCGAGCAGGATCCAAATGTGTAAGACCGAGTTGTGGTGCATGATTTCTTTCGTCCCCACTCGTTCTATGGGTGATTGGCTTTGTGCTACAGTTTGGCTTGCTAGCCTTTTAACCCTGAGGGCTCCTTTGATTCAAAGGAATTGCATAGGATTTTTGGAGGATTTAAACCCTTAGGAATTTTTCCTGTGATGCTCGTTTGATTCGTAGGATTGGCATCCTTAGGAATTTTTTCATATGATCAATTTGTACTACATTTTGGAGGAAAATTTCCATCCACTCAAACCTCTTTGTAAAATTCCTTTGTTTTTTCTATGCTATCAAACATTCTTTCAAATCCTGTAGGATACTATGGGACATGTCACCCAATTCTTGCATTTTTCCTATTCCTTCATTTTGACAATCCTGTGAATCAAAGAGGCCCTGAGTGGAGGAAATATCACATTTTAGACTCGTCATGCAACTAACATGGTGGCCCGCCTGCCAGGCCTACGTGGCATGACACATAGATTCATTTTTATGTCTAGCAAGGCCGCGCCAGGCAAAATGTACTTGACCCGATTGCTCGTCGTAGCTTCTATCATCCTTGTTTATTTTTTTATTCCGTCGTATTTTTGGCCATCATCAGTATCCTTAGCCTAGTCACAGCCACCGGATTGGAGAACCCGTCGAAATCGACCGAGCGATTAGTCGGGTTCGCCTTAACCACCTCGTGTGATATAGTATTTTCCAACTTGCCACCTCACAAAAATACATATCTTCGTGTTATGTCACTCAAGTTTGAGAGGAAACTAGTCAATGCCAAGTGCCAAACGGATAACAGGATATATCGCGACAATAAGTTCCAAAATGATGTACATTGGTGATAATTACAGCCTCCATCTCTCCGAGCATTAGGCCATCTACCATCGAAGGGCGCATATTAGGACGCTTAGGTCACATTTTCTTTTCAAAATATATAGCGCAGGCATCCGTTTCCTCAACGCAACCTCGTCTATTTGAGAACTACCGTAGATAAATTTTTTTTCTTAAAAAAACACTGCGTTTGTTAAAAAGTCCCGTGAAACGACGCTAGCCTAAATCCGATCAAACAAGATTTGGCCGAAACGGCCAG